CCCTCGTAGAAGTAGATCTCGCAGCTTTCCTGGGGCCGTCTCGCCAGCTCGCTTATCTCAGCTACTTCCCCGACTGCAGAGCGTCTTGGCTGGTGCAACCGGCTCTGCCGCCCCTTGACCTCTTGGATGGTCCCATCACTGGAGACGGCAATGGCAAAGGGCTCGCTCCATGCTCCCCATCGCCGATGATCCTTGACAGTGGCGTCTGAAATCCCCATCCTCAGCCTCAGCCAGTGTGTTCCAGGCCTCAAGTTCCTTGCTGGGAGGACGAAGTGCATCCCGCTGCCCCCCCTGGGTTGTCCGAGGTGAGGAGACCAAGGGCAGGATTTCTTTCTCACCTCATCGGTTTTTTCGGTCGTTGAACGTCCTCGTGAAATGGAAGCTCAGATATCGCCTGTCGGGAGGTCAGAAATGTCACGGCAGCACAGCAATCAAGAGCATCGTGACGTACCTTGAGCTGAAAGTGTACAGCGTCTGTGTCCGCAGGTGCCTTGGCCGAGAATCGCATCCGAGCATCGTAAGCGATTGGCTTCCAGAGAACTTCTTTCCTGGAGTCGGAGATGTCCTCTGAGATTGACCTTCCTGGGGTGATGAATGGGTTTGCGCCCTCGTTTTCAAACTGCACGACGCCAGCCCGCTGCGCTGCTTCACAGAATTCTTTAAACGAAGAAAATCTGCCACGTTACGTCATGATCTGTTCTTCATTCGTCGATAGAAGGTACCCAAGTGTCTTGAAGTTTAAATCTTTCCACAATTCTTCGAACTTCTTCTGAAGGTTCCGCAGCAGAATGGGCTTGACTTTCAATTTGTTTCTAGGCCTTGTATTCGCGTATTGAAGTGCTATGGTACTTGCCATAGCTTCGAAATATTTGTCCACTGGTCGAACGTCAACTTTCTCACTGATGTCCCCCGTCTGTTGTGCAGCAAACAGAATCTGACAGAAGGAGTTAGAGTCGGTCTTTCAACTAAAGAACATCCGCACAATCGGAATATCCGACAGGTCCTGATTGCTCGAGGGCTCCCGATGTGCAGGAGGTTGAGCTGGATTCTTGACTTCTGCAACCACCTCGCTTGGGAAGCAATAAGATGTCAGCAACGGATTCACAATCAAGACATTCATCACACAATACCTGTTTGTTTCCTCGTTAGATTTGTTGTCATTTGTTCCTGTTCCAGCGGCAGTTTCGGATTTCTGGTCATTCGCTAGAGGTTTTGGCTGATCAGATCCAAGAATGTTGTTCCTGGTAGACGCCTCAGCCGTTGCAGCTTCAGATTTATTCTCCGCATCTCGATCACTCGTAGATACGTTATCCTTTAACCTGTCATTCTCTGACGATCCGTCTGTCCTCTCCGCCATTGGTTGCACTGAAGGTACTGGGATAGTGGTGACGGCTGTGCCTCTCTGGGTGGATGGGCCAGCAGGGCATGTCTCTTTGGTTGTCTCGGTGCTGGCGGTGGAGGAGCTGCTGTCATTCTTCTGCTCTGCGTTGTTGGGCGTTGTTTGACTTGACTTGTGGGCATCTGCTTTACTAGCATGTACACCCGCGAAAGCATTGGGCGTTCCTCTTGTACTCAATTCATTTGTGATGGCTTGATCCTGTGCCTGATGCGCTTTCGTAACCTTAGGCCTCTGGGCCTATATAGTGGGGGATTAAGAGTGAGAAAGCCGACTCCTTCCTTTGGACCT